TTCTGAGGTGAAGATGTAGGTGAGGCATTTCTTGGGCCCCCATGACCCCGATACGACTCATGCGACTGGCATTGACCTGGGCCTGGACCCTCCATTCCTATACTTCAAACAATGGGTACAAATGTACCTGTTTGGTAATCAAGGATGTCCCAACATGAAAAACATGACTTATCAGCCAATTACAAATTTACACTCCCTGAAATGATCATGGAAGTGGTATCCGCTTCCATGAAAAATTGGGGAGTGTATGTAGACGGATGCCACCTCCGCCAAGAACCACTTCTTCAGTAGCTCACTTGGCGCGCCCACTTCCAAAAAAAAGGAACCCACGCGCCAATTGCAACTCCACACACCCATTCGCCACAGGTCCTGTTGACATCTTCCACTTGCACATCGCCCAACCTGGAAATTGGGCGTACAGTGTACGGTCCAGCACGAAGTCAGGGCCATACGGTCCAGGTCGAGCAAGCCAGGCGGAAGGTGACCCACAATCACCAGGAGGATGGGTTTATTTGTAACAGAATATGTCTACAGAATACGTCTAGGATGGTTTATGCTGTTGACAAATTCTGTTATAATGTCAAAAGAATGTCTCGTCACGCGTTGAATCCGATTTGAGCTCGACCGGAGGGAACTTTTTCGCGAGCTGGTTATATGTGTTCGGAGAGGTTAGCCCAGCGAAACTGTGGTCTAGAGTCTGCAATAGCAGAATCTTGGGTTTTGTGACATTCTCGCTCGAAGCCAACGATGAACATGATTGGTGACTGGACATAAGTGTGGATGCATTCTTCAATGCCAGCCGCTGTCCTTTCCAAGGTATGTGACTGTGCAAGCCACATGTACTCAGCAAGTGCCCCTTCATTTCCTCGAGTCCATTAGTGCCCATCAATGCTTCTTGGAGGTGACTCCATCAATGGCACCTGTTTACACATGTTTACACTGATCCATGCGCTACGCCCCAAAGGCTTGGGAACCTTCAAGAAACACTTGCCATTTCTCCCTTGAAGGCTTGTGCAGGAATGCCAATGGGGAGGATGGACAGGGAGGATGGTTGGCATCCAAGCTGCCGACTGTCTCGCTGGTCATCAAACCACCAAAAGCATCCAAAAGCATGGTACTCAAGGGGCTCCAATAAGCAATTCTGAAAAAACAACACTTTCATGACCACCTCTGGGCTGTAGTTGTTTCCTTGCTTCATCTTGCTTCGCTTCCAAGCGCCCCAGCCAGCGATGGGAGGGATACATGTGTGCCAGGGCTGCCTGGCTGGAGCTGGTTGGCCGGATGCCAGCCAACCGCTTTCTGTGATCAAAACGTCGCGCGCAAATGTGTAAAGGAAGACTCCCCTTATAAGTTTCATCAGTGCATCAGCTGGTGCACCGCTCCAGCCAACCAAGCACGATCATGTTTGATCAGAAGGTCGCATGGTAACTTCCCACCACCGACTCGACCGACTCGCATGCCGGTTTCAACACAGGCGTTCCGTCAGCCATCCGCCAACACACGGCCCCACACGTGTTACTTTGCCTCTAAGTCTCCCTCCAACAAACATGGTTAAGTGGAACATGGCCTCTTGGAAGACTGTTTTCCTTTACAAACCGGTGGTTTTCCACTTGCATGATTGTTGAAAGGGAGAGTAAGTCTTTCAAGAACCGCGAAACGGTCCCGTACCAGGAGATTGTAAGGGTGCCAATTGGTGGGAAGGGATGATAAAGGATGTCTATACACAGGGTGCGGTCTGCTAGCACCCCAGAAACAAAACATGCCCCGCTCCCGTTCAGTTTCCACCACCACCCGCCTGCAAGGAGCGTCCCTCCAAGGACTTCTCTCGCGCCAGGGCGTCCCCTGGTGAAGAAACGCATCTCAACGAACACAAGGAGCAAAACAGGTCAAACCAAGCAAACATTTTAGTAAAATCCTTTTAGATTTAGATTTAATCTCCATCAAAAACCAAACAACACAACAAAAGAAACTTCAAAAACATATCATATTTGTTTTCCTCCACTTCAACAAAGACACATCCATGCTCGCCGTCTTCAGGCCCTCGTTTCATCTGACAAACACCTGCGTCGTTGAAGGACGGCCAGGAAAGCACCTTCGATGCAGCGCAGCTGATGACCTCCCTTGATCCGAAAGACTACCGGGTACCGTTGATCCCGCCGAAATGAAAGCGATCCGATACACATCTCAAGGCACCAGTGCCCCTCCGTTCGGTTGGTACCGAAAATGGGTAGATGGTGCAGTCATGTACAGTCAGACCATGTCGTACTTGGTATCTCTTTGGGTTATAGGGTCAATGAGGGTATCTATGTATTGCAGGGTCCTAGTGCTTCCACTCACTTCCACTGCAGCAACCTTTGCGACGTGGGCGAACCACTGAGGATGTTCTAGGACACCGCCGTGTGACCCTCAGGTGCAGCGTGTTCTTCGCCGTCCCGCGTGACGCGTGACGTGCCCGTGTGGGCCTTTCATGCGCAGCTGTGCATCTGAAAAGCCCTGGAAGTCAAACCTCGGACGCGAAGCGGGGGAAGCGGGCGAAGCGGGCGATCAAACCTATGGCCAGGTGGTTAAGGTGCGCAGGTGATGCCACGGCCAGGTGGCTTAAGGCTTGGGCCAGGCCAGTTGGTTCTCAAATGTTCTCAAGTGTCAAGAGGTGCTCAACTGATTCATGGCCCATGGCAAAAGGTGTCAATTATCACACCCTTTTAAATACATATATAATAATAGGCTTTCCGGGGTGACAAATGACCGCCCACACCTTCCGTTGTCTCATGGTGTAGGATTCTATGGGGATAGGGTTGTCATGAGTTTCAACATCAACAACTTTCATCTGGCCAGTACGCTCTCCGGCCTTACATCCTTGAATGCAAAAAGGATCTGTTGAACCTCCGGGTGCTTCCAGTTGCCCGGGGTTCCAAGGTACCTCTGGGAGTCCAACCTTGCAATCAAATGTTCGGCTGAAAAATCCACTAATCATGCAATTGAACACCACCACTACTCACTATACTCATGGGTATATATCCAAATCCCTGTACCAATGGATGATGGTTGGGTTGCAGGCTGTCCTCTAAAATAGTGTTATATATAATTGTTTACTGATTGTCACAGGTAATAGGCAAACCCCCAGCACATACACATGCAAAGCAAAATGCAACTGCCAAGTGCACGAAGCTCTTCTCTTTGCACAAACCAGCTGGAACACAAGCAAAGCAATTGTTGACAAATACTACAGGACCTCAACATGATGCAATGGCAGGCATCAATGGCAATCTCCTCCACCGGGCGATGTAGCTTCGCCAGATCATGAGAAGATTTGCAGTACCTGTGCCTCCGCATGAGCAGCCTGTTTAGAAGATCATCACACTTCATCTTCGCCTCCAGGCGGCCGCTGTTGTTTTTTCCTGGGGTCCCTGCAGCATGGAGAAACTGCGGCTGGCGCAGAACATCCTCCGTTGCCTCATGACCCCCCCAAATCACAGCCCTGAGCCGCTTGGTGGTTGGCCTACTGACCCTTACATGGAGCGTCCGCGTCCGCGTCCGCGTCCGGACATGGAGCCCGGACGCCAAGCGAGCGGTCATGGGCCCGGGTCTTGTCACCTTCTCAGGTTCAAGAGTGGCTTTCTGATACCCGCATCATGCACTGTGTGCATGGTGTGCCGCGCAAGTGGCAGAGAAGTCGAAGCACCCCGAGCTGCATCTAGCCGGATCTACCCGGTGCTTTCATGCAAAGAGCTTGCTTCCAGGCATCAAGATTGGTGTTGTGCATGTCTGGCCTCTCTGACGCACTTTGGGCCGCACATCTCTTCTAAGCTGAACTCAATGAATTTGTCGTGTTTTCCACGTGCCATGACACCAGCCAAGATATCCAAAGCAATTCACTGAGGCGATCCGATTCTAGATCTTTGCCGTTCTTGCTCGAGACTCCTGGTGACCCCGAGTCAAGGTTTCATGCTTCGAAGGGTGGAGCCCAAACGGGGTCTGGCATGGAGGCCAGCTGGCAAAGCTGAAGATGCAAAACGCTTGGCCTGACATGCCCCCTAGGCCCTAGGCCCTAGGCCATGAACTGCGGGGAAAACACAGTGACAGTCAGACTCTGGAAAGCCTCCTGAAATGTTCATCAACAGAAGCGCGGAAGGTGGTCATTTGTAGATCTTTCGGTTCTTGAACGCCATTGGACGCATGACTAGCACCCTCAGCTCAAGCACCCTCATACAAGCCATGTGTCATCTCTCTAAGTTTCAATCACTCTCATACCAGTTGCTTCCAGGGTGTCATCCTTATGGACAACCCCACACTACTTAGGTAATTAGGTCTCCATATGCCTCCACCCGGCGGTCGTGGAAGCACCGGCCCTCGTCCTCACCGGTGTCCTGGGTCTTCGTACTTCGGGCTTTTGAGGGCCCAATGGAGCCACTCCAACCTGGGGCCGAGCTGTCTCAGCTGCTGACGGCAGGCCACCAAGTGACTCAGCTTAAATAGCTGCAGGTAGATCCAGAGGTTGAAGAACCCTAGTTCGACTATCCTATCCTATAGGTACCCCTGGTTACGGGTCCTATTTCAGGTCACTTAACCTCTGTAGGATAGGAAGGCCGCCCCCAGTGTTCGTGGACCTGTGGACCTTTCAATACGGAGCACTTGACTTGACTTGGAATGCATCTTTAAGATCCTCTTCTTGGCTTCTTGAATCTTCTTGGACTTCTTTGACCACCGAAGACCGCTCCGAACGACGGAGCTTGACCGTTTGCGAGTCCATGCTGTCCAGAACGCCGTAGAACCCCGCAGCTGCCCCAGCAGCAAACTCTTATAAGAGTGACCACAAGGAACGGCCTAAGCATGTTTGGGGTCTGGCATAACGATATTAACCAAAAGAACTCAATTATTCGCACGATGTCAGGCGGTTTTCTCATGGTGACCTGGTGAACCATGATGAACCTGCACCAAAACAAGTCACCTCCCCAAATTTCGACAGCTTCAGCTCACTGCCCATGATCTCAACTCCTCTTGGCATTTTTTCCGTGGGCGAGCCCCTTCTGACTGCGCCCAGACTTCGACGCGCCCGCTACTCGGCGCGACTTTCACAGGTGGCAGTCTGCACCTCCAGGGGGGTGAGTTGATTCACAAGGAATCTGAGTTGATCTGAGTTGAAGAGTCATGAGTCCTGACTGCGAAGGCGAAGACCATATTTGTACGCCTGAGAAGAAGCTAGGTGAGGAACGGTCCTGGTAGGAACGGGCCTTCATCTCCTTGACGGATCCTTGAGATTCTTCAAACACCTCTTGTTACGATTGCCCTCAATTCTCCCCACAAACACTAACATCGGAAGTGACAGTGGGAGCATTTGGAAAAGTACTTGTACTAGTATTATATATATATAGTCTTTTTAGAGGCCAAACATGTTGGTTTCTTGCTTTTTTGTATGGCCAGTTGGGATGCTTTTTCGAGGCTGTGGATATATGTCAACATCACAGGACCTTCCAGGCTCTGGCATGGGCAAAATATGGCTGTCAAACCAAACCTCCCTCATCAAACCATGGTAGGTTGAGACCCCTTATAGAGGAATCTGTTCATTTTCAGGGATATATCCATATGATTCAATCATGTCCTTGCAAGCCCTGTGTGATCTGTGTGTCTGTGTGTGTTCTGACTATTTCCGCCTCTGCTACCAGTATTTGCTCGAAGAAGGACATCTCCCCTTTCCCGTGTTGCATACTTTCCGCGCCGCGAGTTTTCTCTCGCCGCAAACCAGGCCTCAGGTGTCGCAAGGGCCCAAGGCCTTGGGGCAAATCTTGAAGCCGGTCATCACCACGCTGTAGTCCGAGGACCTGGGTGTGTCACACACAGCTGTGACGACCACACGGCGAACGTCAAGGGAAACCAGTGGTGCAGTTTGCCCCAAAAAGATGGACCCACCGACTGGGTAGGGAATGACCACATTGTGAAGCATGTGAAGTGTTCCGGCTTGGAAGCTAACGAGGAGGTCTATAGGCATGTTGAAGGATCAGTTTAAAACAAAAAACAGTATAGTTTGCAGGTTAAACAAAGTTTGCGTTTCAACGCCGTGCCTTCTGTAAAAATATCTGACAATACATACAACATATTGACCCTCAAAACATCTCAAAACCCCTCTGATGATCATGATAGATCCTTATGGGTATAGGTAAATATATTCCATACATGGATTGTGCGGATCCCAAGTCGGTGTTGGGTGCCATCATTTGGCCATCTACTTGAAAGCAACGTTGCTCACTGCACCGAAGTAGATGCCAAGATGGCACTACCATATCCTTATGTTGTCCACTTACAGCCAAGTTCTAAGAATCATTGAAAAAGAAAAAGTGCAGAAAAAAAAAACAAAAAAGAGCAAAACCAAAAAGCAGAAAGAAAAACTGTCTGGATAAGAAGTGCAGAAACAAAGCAGAAAAAAGCAAACAAAAGTGCAAACAAAAAGCAAACAAAAAAGGGAAACAAAGCAAAAAAAAACAAAAAAAAAGCAACTGTTCCCCCACTTTTCCCCCACTTTTTTTGTGGCTCTGGAATTTGTTCTCCCACTTTTTCCCCACTTTTTTTGTGGCTCTGGAAATGCCAAAACTTTGCACTTTCCTCGAAAAAAAGCAAAAACAATGCAAAAAAAATGCAAAAAAGTGCAAAAAATAAGAGCAAAAAAAGTGCAAAAACAAGTGCAAAAACAATGCAAAAAAAGTGCAAAAAAAACCGTGCCCAATTCGCCTCCAAAAAAAGGCTCTTTTTTGCTTTTTTGGTTGCTTTTTGTTTGCTCTTTTTCCCGAAAGCATTGCGAAGGGTTCTTCCGGAAAATCCTTTGAACACTTACACTTCGACACTTACACACACACACACACACTGGACGAGCGAAAGCATCCAAGTGCGAAGTATGCCAGTGTCAAAGTATGCAAGTGTAAGTATGCAAGCATGATATGCAAGGGTGAGTATGCAAGCACGCAATGAGTATACAAGCATGCAATGAGTAGGCAAGTGTGAGTATGGAAAACTAGCACGGGAGATGTCCTAATGAAAAAACATTTCCCCACTTTATAAATTCTCTCTTAAAGGCGGAGTGCGGGACGAACAGCGTCAACCGAAAGTGCAACCCTCTGCGGAGATCGTGCGTGTCGAGTGCGCGAAATGCAGGCGAGAGTGCGATTTGTCCGGTGCGCGCGCAACCCTCTGCGGAGATCGTGCGTGTCGAATGCGCGAAATGCAGGCGAGAGTGCGCAACCCTCTGCGGAGATCGTGCGTGTCGAGTGCGCGAAAT